AATTTCTTCAGTAAGGACAGGATCAGGAGTCTTGCGGGGGAAGGCATTCCATTTGCGGGGAATTAGGCCGTCCGGGACAGACACGAAGAAAAACCGGTCTTTCCATCCTTTGATTGAGGTTGGGTTTCCCTTGAACAGAATGTGTCCCGTTCGGGCACTAGTGGCCAGATAGCCGTGAGTTTGTTGGGGGGCTACCTTGAAAAATTGGTGAAAGAGTTCTAGGGTTGGTCGTGCGCCGGCATCTTTGCAACGGCAGATAAAACCCGCCATTGCCCGATAGGAGTTCGGCATAATTTGGGCCGGTACAACTTCGTAGAAATTGAAGAAAGAAATGTAAAAGGGGTGTAGCGGAAACCTAAGGCCGGCCCTAATTGAGTCAAAGTGAACTATGGTTATTCCGGGCCTATGACGCATTGGGTGAAGCCCAGCTTGCAAACGGAAATCCACCGGGTCAGGGATAAGGGCCGGAATTTCGGCCCTATTATGGGAGGTCAGTTTTTGCCGCCTCTCCCTAATCAATTTTAGGTCAAGGGTATGGCGAGGAAAATCGTTGGGACGTCCGGCCGCCATGGAGGCTATTTCATCCTCGGATTTGGTGTCGTCGGAATCTTCACTGGAGGAAGAAGAAGTGCTAGGGAGGTCCTCCGCCTCAGCCCTGGTATTCATCGCCGTTTCAGTAGAACCACCGGCAAACGGGACTGTGATGACGTCCACAATGGCGGCATCACGGTCATCTCCATGGGAGGCCATCTCCGAATCAGAGGAATGCTCTGTGGGGCTCATCTCGGTCGAACCAGAAATGAAGATAGGGAATCCGGATTTGAGAGGTTACCTGAGCGACGGAAGCTGGGAGGGAATTGCAGGGAAATCAACAAGGTGCAGAGAATTGCAGAATCGAAACCCGGAATTGAGAAGTTAAAGGCTAATTTATAGCCTTGAAACCGCCGTGTCAAGAACCAATCAGAGAGCGACACGTCACAAGGAGCGTTTAAGCTAAACACGTGTCTAATGAAAAGACTAAACGACGGTTATCATGATGAATATGGGGAAATGAAGCGGCAGCCGTCAAATCGCAGCATGGGGAACTGGTTACTTCTGTACCCCGATCGCCATTCGGGGTATTATAACATTGATATACTTCCTAATGCACTCACTATCGTTCGAGACATCGAAAGTGGGGGACTTGTGTTGGGATATTGACCTAGAGGCCCAATACCCAGATCGGGAAGGCCCAAGATATCCGGCCCAAACAACGGGCCCATCACTCTATGATGAATAGATCCAGTAAGAAGACATACCGAACGGAGTTCGGCCCAAACAAGGTTGGCCCAGTAAGAAGACATACTGAACGGAGTTCGGACTATATATCATACTTGGGCCAATTTGACAATATCTTCAGTACAGCCCGATATCCCGTTCGAGCAACAGCCAATCAGCAAGTGGCCAGGTGCAATTAATGCCAGACTGTGACATCAGCAAGTGGAAGCATGGATGACCAAGTCGGTGGAACAACGGCCAATCAGCATGGGGCAGCCCATGCTCTCCATTAGTATAAATAGAAGGTTTCAAGTCATTGTAAGGGTTAACATTTCAATACTCAGGCTCTAGAATAGCATCATTGCTCTTATTTCTTGTATTAAAGCATAGTTTCCGACCTACCGATCGGGAAATTCCTTGTAATCAGACTGGTTAATTAATACAAGTGAGCTTTCGAGTGTTAGTTAGTTCAGATCTTATATTTTTCTTACACGCTTTGATTCTGGGCCATTCCTGATATATCTAAGGTTCGTGTTGGGCTTTCGGATCTACGGGATTTACCCTCAACAAGAGTAAAAAGTATCGTGACCATGTTTGCTTGTTAAGAAAATCTATCTATGGCTTAAAACAGCTTCCAAGACAATGGAACTTGAAATTTGATGCTTGCATGAGTAAACTTGGTTTTCTTAAAAGCAAATATGATACTTGCTTGTATTTCAAGAATGTTGGTACTCATAATGCTGTTTACATTCTGCTATATGTTGATGATATCCTCATAATTGGTCTGTGCAAAATGTTGGTTATTAGTGTGAAAGATGATCTAAAAACACATTTTGACATGAAAGACATAGGACCTGCTAAAAGAATTTTAGGAATTGACATTAGCAGAAATAGACCTCAAAAGTGCATGTTCTTATCTCAAAGCAGTTATTTGTCAAAGATTTTGGATAGGTTTAACATGCTTGGTTCTAAATGCACTTCTATACCCTTAGGAGGGCATTTGGATCTTCATAGGGATCCTTATCCTATTTCTTTGGAGGAATCTAAGAAAATGGATAAAATCCCTTATGATGTCGCTTCTGGCTCTTTGATGTATGCTATGCTTTGTACCAGACCAGACCTTGCCTATGCTGTGAGTGTTCTTAGCAGATTCATGTCTGACCCTAGGGAAAGACATTGGACTGCTATGAAGTATACTCTTAGGTATCTATCTGGAACAAAAAACCTAGGTCTTAAGTATAGTTTCAATTCTTCTTTAGATCTCAAAGGATTTGTTGATTCTGATTATGCTGATTGTAAAGACACCAGAAAGTCTACCACTTCCTGGTTTTTAACCTGGGCTAGGAACTGTATTTCTTGGAAATCCCAATTGCAATCTGTTGTGGCTCTGTCCTCTACTGAGGCTGAATATGTTGCTGCCACTGAAGCCATTAAAGAAGCCAAATCGCTTAAAGGTATTTTGGGGGAGGTTCTAGGAAACAACCTTGTCCCTATTGTTTTTTCTGACAGCCAAAGTGCTATTTACCTTTGCAAAGATCCTATGTATCATGAGAAGACCAAACATATAGATGTAAGGTTTCATTACATAAGAGATGAAATTGCCAAGGGTAATACTAATGTTGAAAAGATTTCTGGGGATGTAAATCTTGCTGATTTTGGAACAAAAATTGTCCCTACTGATAAATTTCTTTTTTGCAGGAGCTTCTTCAAAGTCTTTGAGGTACCTTGATAAAAGGTTCCAAGTTGGGTTGATGATGAATGGGGAAATTTATGTCTCTCAGATCCTGCAAACTAGCGATGATGATACTCCTGTTGGAGTTTTTTGAATGAGAATTAGTCTTAGGAGGGCAAATTGTTGGATTATTATTTAATCCTAATTCTCTCATATGTTCTTTTAGTTATAATTAAGATAGGATGATAAAGTAATTAGATTTGGATTTATTTTTCTTGGGTTATCTCTAGTTTGGGTTGATTATTTGTGCCTTGGGCTTGACTGGTTTAGCCTCTTGTTTTGGGCCTATTTTTTGGGTCCGGCTTTTGGTTAGCTCATCTGCCCGAGTGGAAGGTTATAAATATATCCTTCGTCCTCCCCTCTGCACTGTTCCGCTGCATACTTCAAACCCTAGAGAGAAATCTGAGAGAGAGAGAGTCAATTGAGGTCGGTGAACTGCTGCAGTTGATGGCATCCCCTTGTGACGATTGTGAGGAAGGAGTGAACCTGTTCGTTTGAAGTCGCTCACTGGTTCATCCGGGAGTCTTCTTCTGCATTCGAATCCTTTATTGGAATCGATTTCGGTTAACTCTGAACTTTCTCTTGTTTTATTCGTTATGAGTCGTTTGTCTGTAAATTGCATGTTGATACCGGTCGTAGTCTAATTACTTTGCAACCGTCTTGATTGTAAAAACGTTTCTGAGCTAGTGGATCTGTTTGGGACCGGGTTTCCCCTATTGAAACCCCGCAGATTAGGAAGTTTTCTTCCGAACTGCGTCAACATATCACGTGTCTTTTACTTTCTGTACTGCTTTGTTTGCTTGTTAGAAGTGTTGAGATCCGATTTGTGTGACTGTGACTCCGTATTGTCTGAGAACATCTTGCTTCCACCCCCATTTTTTAAGTGCGAGACTATGAGTTTATTAATAAACCCATACCCATTGTATTCAGGCATTCAGCTCTAAACAGCTCCTGAATAATTACAAGCCCCAACATACCGATAGTGCTAAAATTCTTAAAATGTACAGATTTTGTACTCTCAATCTTGAACAAACGGCACCAAAGGTATTTTGTGGAGATTAGAAAACAGTGTGGTACGAGAAAATGAAAGGAGAGGAAGAGTAGGGATGTTTTTTATTTGGATTGTTTTCAGTCCAAGACCAGACCAAACTAGACTTAAACAGACCAAACCAGACCTTTATAATTATAAAATACACAAAAACCAGACATTTACCAAACCAGAACATACCATACCAACAAATTTCAGTTCAAGTAAAAACATCCTAGAAAAGAGGGTAAAAAATATGGCCAATGTTCTCAACAAAGGAAATGGACCAAGAAAAGTCAATTTGGCAAACCTTTTCGGGACGTAGGGAGTAAAATAATCAAACACTTCGACTAAAAAGAATAAAAGTCCTCATATCAAGAACCGAGAGACTATAAACTAATAAAAAATACACCATGTCAGATTAAGAGGGATTTATTTAAAAATTCATCATAATTGTTAAACATTTTATGCAGACTTGTATCTTATTTGTGTTCAAAAATAGATTGAAATTGAAAAATAAGGCATACTTTGGAATATTTTTTAAATGAGTCACAAATGAGCTTATCAGCCCTAGTATAAATGTGACTTCACTCTAAAGTATAAACCAGACTGGCCCAATTCAAATGAACAAGTCATTATTGCCCCTATAATAGATATATGGGGTTAGGCCAACAGGAAAGCAGAACACATATAGTAAAGCAGATCAATTAAGCCCAACATAAAAACATTTTTGTAAAGACCTTAACAGAGTGTTGCCATACGAGTCTAATACCATACCGATGTTAAAGATAGTCAAGAAAATACTATTGAAACAAAACATTCTTACCAAATGATATGCTCACAACGTAGTCACCAAAATTCAGTTTTCGTAGCTGTTCAGCACATCTATCTCAGGAATGAAAAATCAAGCACTTTAAACTAATAATTCAATGGTGTCTAGAGATCGAAAGGTGTAATTCAACCTCTTAATCTTCATCCTCTGCCTCATTTTCGGCAATGTTGAAGTATCTCAATTCATACACATTTTTATCCTTGTTCGAGGATATAACACGCAGCCAATCTCGCACACTGTTCTTCTTCAGATACTTCTTTGTTAAGTATTTCAAATACCTGTGCAACATTATCAAAAATCAATTAATCAATAAGGAAAGTAAAAAAATTCTGTAAAGGAATAGGAAACATTGAAGGAATAGGAAATCTAAAAAATCTTTACATCCAGGGCATGTTTGGTTAGGGAATTTTAGAGGTAACAGATGAGTAGGATTATTTTATGATATACAGGTTTATATTTACTTATGTCTTATGCTAAATGAGTGTTCAAGTTTGCCTCTTTTGTTGGAAAGTTGTTTACTTTAGAGAGTAAATGGAAAAAATGTTTAGCCATACAAGTTGGTAGTGTTTAAAAGAAAAGTGATTTTTTAAAGCACAAAGTTATTTGGTCAAAAGTACTTTTTGGCGTTGCAAAAAAAGTGCAGTTTTATCATTTTATGCCTCCTACTCTTTGCTTACAAATGCTAAATTTAAGCATATGAGCCTGCTTGAAAAACTATTTTGAACTTTTTAAAGAAAAATTATAAATCACTTTTTTAAAAAAAATAGGCGCCCCTAACTGCTAAGGAATTTGGTAGCAATGAATAATTTATGAATAGTCATGTTAAGAGGTTGATGTATTTTTACTTTCATTATTTTGAACTACCTAATGATAAAAAATACTTCCTATTGTCTTAAATAGTTGCAACATTGTGATTTTTCTACTATTCACTCTTTAATTTGTTCATCATTTTCTACTAACGTATATAATCAAATTATTATGTATAAAATAATATTAAAATTCTACTTATGTGAATTTCCAAAAAATTAACATTTTATAATGTTTACTACAGAGTAATATGTAATTAAATATAATTACAGTCAAATTTGTGTGTTGGAAAATGTGAAAGTCAAACCGTTTCAATTTAAAAAACATAGGTAGTACATTAGTAGAACTAAAATAACTCACTAGCCTCCTAAATACCCCATCCAAACACACCCATAAGGGAGTTACAAGTAAAATCAGCAGTGACAACATGTTCTCAAGACAGTTGATGGATAGTGTACCAGGGGGTAGCTTATCCGAGGGGTTATTGCGGAGAATAACTAGAGAGAAGTCAGAGCAAATAAGTAAGATAGAGAGTGTATATTCGATATGTATTAAGCGTGGTTTACAATGGGGGAAAGGGTTGCTATTTATAGTAGTAATAAATGCCAGATAAGGACACATGTCAGTTTTCTGGTGGTCGAGGGGTCACCTCAACCGGGGTGGCACTGGCACTCGCATGTGGCCGCATTAAATGCGGTGGTTGGATGTGACGTTTGTACTTGGTACGGTGATCCAGGCGCATGTGAAGAGGATATTCTGTCGAGGTGGATGCCTTCGGCTGAAGGGTGCTGGGCCGAAGGCTCTTCTAATCGAGGGCTCCTACCTGCCGAGGGCTGTAGGTGCCGAAGGCTTGGTTTTCAAGCCTTGATCTCCTGTGATGCCTCTTCTAACCGAGGGCTCCTACCTGCCGAGGGCTGCAGTTGTCGAAGGCTTGGTTTTCAAGTCTTGTCCTCCTATGATGTTTCTGAGCTCGATTCCGTCACTGGTAGCCTTCGGCCATGGGGCCGAAGGCACCCCTTTGCGTATTGTGGGCTGCTTAGAGCTTCATTTTTTCGGGCTTGGCCCGTTTGGGCCTGTTGGGCCTGATTGTAGTAGAGGAAGTATGTGGGCCGGGGATCCCTGGGCCATATACTCCATCAGGAGTCCCCCACTCCTTTTGCCGAAAGGTACTTGAGGGAAAAGGAGTAGCTGTGGTGATTTCCCCGAAGGCTTCCCTGTTCTGTTGGGTGCCTTATTTTCTCAATTTCCCCATATGTCGAGAGCTGAGAGCTTCCTGAAGGGAGTGTAAGTGTGTTGCTCGTATGTGTTTCTTTGTTGTAGTTTGTCAAGTAATGAGAGATCTGCATTTGTGTGCTTTGCCGAGGGCATTTGTTGACTGAAGGCTTTGTGTGGCCGAAGGCATCATGTGGCCGGAGGCATCATGTGGCCGGAGGCATCATGTGGCCGGAGGCATCATGTGGCCGGAGGCATCATGTGGCCGAAGGCATCATGTGGCCGAAGGCATTGTGTGACCGGAGGCATCATGTGGTCGAAGGCATTGTGTGGCCGGAGGCATTCTGTAAGCCCAAAGCATCAAGTCGAGGGGAGTAGATTGCCGTTGTGATCTTGCCTCAGCTTGCTGTAGCTGAGAAATAGAAATTTTTTAACATTTGCGTGTTTTTGCCGAGGGGAGTCCCCCAGTCCCCCACTCCTTTTGCCGAGAGTTTCTCGAGGGAAACAAGAGTAGAGTGATGCATGCCTTCAGCAGGAGCCGCCGAGGGGTGACGCCTTTTGTTCCACAATGGGGAGATGCCTCGTTAAAACCTCATTAGGAAAAAACCCTGTGGGAAAAAAAAATCCTAATGAGGGAAAAAGAGTACACCGGATGCCCCCAGAATGAAGCAAAAGGAATGCACCCTTCGGCCTAGATTTTTGAGCGGTGGTTGTGTCCGTCTACTGAGGGGATATCGAAGACCAGCCTTACTGCATGAAAAAGCTGAGGAGCTTGTAAGGACCCCCCGTTATCAAATAAAGGTGACGGAGGGGTGCAAGGCCAGGTGGGCCTGTGTGAGAGCCCCTGGCATCAAATACAGATGCCGGAGGGATGGAGACCGAGGGGCCTGTGTGATTGCCCCCGACATCAAATAAATATGTCGGAGGGGTGAAGGCCGAGGGCCTGTATGATAGCCCCTGGCATCAAATAAAGATGTCGAAAGGATGAAAGCTAGGCTGAGGGGCCTGTATGACAGTCCCTGGCATCAAATAAAGATGCCAGAGGGATGAAGGCCGAGGGACCTGTGTGATTGCCCCCGACATCAAATAAAGATGTCAGAGGGATGAAGGCCGATGGTCCTGTATGATAGCCTCTGGCATCAAATAAAGATGCCGGAGGGATGAAGGCCGAGGTACCTGGGTGATTTCCCCCGACATCAAATAAAGATGCCGGAGGAATGAAGGCTGATGGGCCTGTATGATAGCTCCCAGCATCAAATAAAGATGCCAGAGGGATGAAGGCCGAGGGACCTGTGTGATTGCCCCCGACATCAAATAAAGATGCCGGAGGGATGAAGGCTGATGGGCCTGTATGATAGCCCCCGACATCAAATAAAGATGTCGGAGGGATGAAGGCCGAGGGCCGTTGTGATGTGGAATCATGCTGAGGCCGAGGGCCGTTGGAGATGTGAGATCACACTAAGGCCAAAACCATTATGACATAGGGTCATGTTGAGGCCGAGGGCCGTTGGTGATGTGAGATCACGCTAAGGCCAAAACCATTATGACATAGGGTCATGTTGAGGCCGAGGGCCGTCTGATGTTGAGGCTGAGGGTCATTGTGATGTCCTCACGCTGAGGCCGAGGGCCGTTGTTGATGTTGAGGCCGAGGGCCGTTCTTATGCTGAGGTCGAGGGCCATTGTGATGTGGAATCACGCTGAGGCCGAGGGCCGTTGGTGATGTTGAGGCCGAGGGCCATCCTTATGTTGAGGCCGAGGGCCGTTGTTGATTTTGAGACCGAGGGCCGTTCTTATGCTGAGGTCGAGGGCCGTTGTTGATGTTGAGGCTGAGGGCCGTCTGATGTTGAGGCCGAGGGCCATCGTGATGTGGAATCACACTGAGACCGAGGGCCGTTCTGATGTTGAGGCCGAGGGCCGTTGTGATGTGGAATCACGCTGAAGCCGAGGGCTTTTGGTGATGTGAGATCACGTTAAGGCCAAAATCGTTATGACATAGAGTCATGTTGAGGCCGAGGGCCGTCTGATGTTGAGGCCGAGGGCCATTGTTATGTCCTCACGCTGAGGCCGAGGGCCGTTGTTGATGTTGAGGCCGAGGGCCGTCCTTATGTTGAGGCCGAGGGCCGTTGTTGATTTTGAGACCGAGGGCCGTTCTGATGTTGAGGCCGAGGGCCGTTGTGATGTGGAATCACACTGAAGCCGAGGGCTTTTGGTGATGTGAGATCACGTTAAGGCCAAAATCGTTGTGACATAGAGTCATGTTGAGGCCGAGGGCCGTCTGATGTTGAGGCCGAGGGCCATTGTTATGTCCTCACGCTGAGGCCGAGGGCCGTTGTTGATGTTGAGGCTGAGGGCCGTCCTTATGTTGAGGCCGAGGGCCGTTGTTGATTTTGAGACCGAGGGCCGTTCTGATGTTGAGGCCGAGGGCCGTTGTGATGTGGAATCGCGCTGAGACCGAGGGCCATTGTTGATGTTGAATCACGTTGAGGCCGAAATCGTTATGCCAAGGCCGAGGGCCATTGGTGATGTTGAGGCCGAGGGCCATTGTTGATTTTGAGACCGAGGGCTGTTCTGACGTTGAATCATGCCAAGGCCGAGGGCCATTGGTGATGTAGAATCGAATTGAGGTTGAGGGCCTTTCCTTGATAGTTCCGGGAGTCCTTTGGGTGTATGTTCCTTCTTTCAGGCATCGACCGAGGGGTTGATTCCCCGCCTCGGCCGAAAGGAGGTCCAAGTGATCCGTCCGGGGGTTCGTCTGTTAGTCCCCCGGCGCTGGGCCGTCCCTTGATTGTGCCAGGAGGTCATATGTTAGTCCTCCTGATGTGTGTTCCTTCTTCTAGGCTTCGGCCGAGGGGTTGATTCCCCGCCTCGGCCGAAAGGAGGTCCAAGTGATCCGTCCGGGGGTTCGTCTGTTAGTCCCCCGGCGCTGGGCCATCCCTTGATTGTGCCAGGAGGTCGTATGTTAGTCCTCCTGATGTGTGTTCCTTCTTCTAGGCTTCGGCCGAGGGGGTTGCTTCCCCGCCTCGGCCGGAAGGGGGTCCAAGTGATCCGTCCGGGGGTTCGTTTGTTAGTCCCCCGGCGCTGAACCGTCCCTTGACCTTGGGGGGTCCCGTCGTCTATTTACGGCGCGGACTAGACTTGGTCGGTTTCCGACGACTGCCGTTTCACCCCCAAGTTTGGGGATTTCGTCACCTCAACCATTCTTTCAGGCCTGTCGCCGTGCGTTGCGCGCCGGCGACGCGGCGAGCGTCCCGCTCCAAGAACGCGGGCCTTTTGCAGGCCCCTCGTCTTTAGAAACCATCGGCCATACCTGGGCATTTGGCCTCAAAGGGGCCGATAAGATGTCTGGATTGTGTTGTAGTTTACTTAAATTCATAGAAATAAGCGGAATACAAGGGGTGCGTTGTTTGACAATGGCTTTGTTAAGATTCACCGCTCAAGGCCGAGGGCTCTAGGCCGAGGGGATGGTAATGTGCCTCGAGGTCGAGGCCCCAAGGTTGAGACTAACGCCGAAGGTGAGGAACATGATTAGCGGAGGTGGCGCTTCTTCGGCTGGGGCTCCTCGAACTCCTCTCCGTCACTGAGCCTCCCGATTTCATGTTTCTTTGTTGCGATGTCCCCTTCTTCTTTATCGGTGTTCTCCCCGGTGTTTTTCCTTGGGGCATTTTTGATTAATTGGTGGAGCTCACCCCGTTGAATTAAGAGTTCAATAGCCTTCTTTAACGAGACACAATCGTCTGTATTGTGGGAGGTGCTTTTGTGGTAACGGCAATAAGTGCCGCCTTGGTGGATGGCGTAGATTTCCCTCGCCGACCGAGGGTCCTTGGGGAAAAGGTCCTGCTCTTCCGCATAGTTGAGGATAGTGCTCACCGGGTGCGTGAGGGAAGTCCTCGGCATGTCCAGCCGAGGGCGCCATTGGCGTTCGTTACGGCCCTGCTGGGTGTGGCTTCCATGGTCTCGGCCTCCGGCCGAGGGCACATTTGGGGCCGGCGTGTTGTTTATCTTCTTCGAGGGCTGGCCCTCGTTCTTCTTGAAGGAGTGGAGGTCGTCGGCGTCGGCGTATAGGCTCCCCCGCTGGAGTGCTCTGAGGTATGATCTTGGGGGGTCGGTGATGAGGCTCCGTGCGTAGGGGCTGCTACGGAGAACCCCCTGGAAGAGGACGAGGAGGGTACGCTCGTCGGCGCCCTCGACCTCGTCTGTCTCCTTCATCCACCGGTCAATGAAGGACCGAAGTGTTTCGTCAGGCTGTTGCTTGACGGAGAGGAGCTGGGAGAAGTGCTTTCTCGCGCGCTTCCTTCCGACAAAATGGGTGAGGAAGCGTTGGGCAAGATCTTGCCAAGAGTCAATGCTGCCCTCGGGCAATCGATTGAACCATTCGTATGTTGGTCCCTCCAAGGTGGAAAGGAACCAACGACATAAGTATTCATCTGATGCCCCCATCATCTTATCATGCTGTTTTGATACCTGTTGTAGTGCTCCTGGGGGTCAGTTTTTCCTTCATAGGGCTTGATGAGTTGCCCTCGGTACTTTTCCGGGATTTGGGCCGCCAATACCCTTGGGGTGAATGGCGTCCGGGTCCGGAGCTGGATAATGGGTTCCCCGGAGCCCTCGGCTACCTTCTTCTGTAATTCCTCCTTTTTGGCCATCATGGCCTCGTATTTGAGGTCTGAATGAGGGGTGGAGGTGGTGGCGTGAGCTTTGTCGGCCTCCATTTCATCAAGTCGGCGTTGGAGGGCCGCAATAATTTCATCCCGGGGGTCCTTCGGGAGGGTCTCCGCCCCCTGCGAACGAACCCGGGCCGAGTGGACCTGGTTGATCTGGTGGCGAGCATCGTCGGCATGAAGGGGTGCCTTGCCTTTGTCCCGAGGGGGACGCTCCTCGTCTTCCCTTGAGACAGACCCTCCGCTTTCTTGGGGCCCTCGGCGGTCTTGCACCCCTCCGAGCCGGTTGAGGGCGGAAGTGCGGGGCCTTTCTCTGTTGTCATTGTGGCGGTCCCGGGACTGAACTTCCTGGGAGGCTGTGTCTTGGGCCACTACCCCTTCGTCATTCCTAACCCGAGGGATGGGGTTTCCGAAGCGGTGTGGCAGAGGGGGAAGTACGATGTTCTCCCCAAGCTGGGGTTGAGCCGGAGCCAGGGTGCCGAAGGCATCCGGGTTCTGAGTTAGCGTCTGGATGAAGGCGGAGAGTGCCGAATGAACGTCGATGGTGAGGACCGGAGGGCTGACTTGGTCATCGCTCCGGTTTTTCTTCTTGACCTCGATGCCGAGGCGGGCATCTGGGGCATTCTGCTGGATCTGAAGGCGTAGGTCGACAGCCGCCTGTTCCAGCCCAGCGATGACACCGCCCTTGGGAGCCTTGTGAGAGGCTTCGGGGGCGTTGACGTCGCCGAGGGCCAGGTTCTTATCTTCTACGTTTTTGGAGTTGACACGTGTTGTTCTCACCATTTTGGTAGAGGGCTAGTGTTTGGCGAAGGGGGAGAGTTTCTTACTTGATCGTTCGACCTCTCAACGAGAGCACCAAATGATGGATAGTGTACCCGGGGGGTAGCTTATCCGAGGGGTTATTGCGGAGAATAACTAGAGAGAAGTCAGAGCAAATAAGTAAGAGAGAGTGTATATTCGATATGTATTAAGCGTGATTTACAATGGGGGAAAGGGTTGCTATTTATAGTAGTAATAAATGCCAGATAAAGACACGTGTCAGTTTTCTGGTGGTCGAGGGGTCACCTCAACCGGGGTGGCACTGGCACTCGCATGTGGCCGCATTAAATGCGGTGGTTGGATGTGACGTTTGTACTTGGTACGGTGATCCAGGCGCATGTGAAGAGGATATTCTGTCGAGGTGGATGCCTTCGGCTGAAGGGTGCTGGGCCGAAGGCTCTTCTAATCGAGGGCTCCTACCTGCCGAGGGCTGTAGGTGCCGAAGGCTTGGTTTTCAAGCCTTGATCTCCTGTGATGCCTCTTCTAACCGAGGGCTCCTACCTGTCGAGAGCTGCAGTTGCCGAAGGCTTGGTTTTCAAGTCTTGTCCTCCTATGATGTTTCTGAGCTCGATTCCGTCACTGGTAGCCTTCGGCCATGGGGCCGAAGGCACCCCTTTGCGTATTGTGGGCTGCTTAGAGCTCCATTTTTTCGGGCTTGGCCCGTTTGGGCCTGTTGGGCCTGATTGTAGTAGAGGAAGTATGTGGGCCAGGGATCCCTGGGCCATATACTCCATCAACGGTTCTTAGCGTTTAGGAAAATCTAGAAAGTAATTTATTAATTCCTTTTACAGAGCATCATCTATAAAAAGTTCTTTAAGTTGAGACTTGAGAACAAAAACAACCAATGAATCTAGGCACATAACTCGTAAAATTATTCACTACAAAATTGTTCTGTGTAATGAGAACTATTAATATAAATTCACAGTTTCCAATAATTAAATAAAAAAGTTCTTTATGAAAAATGCTACAGATCAATTTGATGTCGATCTATTAAGTACGGAGTACTAAACTAATGTGATACTTCGTAGTTCAGATCAACTCAATTTAGAACTAAATACCACCATAGTTGCTGTTATCAAGCATTGAGAGTGCTATACACCAGCTAATAAGCAGCGTAAAGTATTCTAAAGCAAGTCCACATAAATAAAATGATAAGTTTCAGGAAAAGTAACATGTGAAGATCTACAGACCAGTAATGGATTACCGCTTGGAAAAGTTGGAGTCTGCCGTGACGGTAATTTTGGTCTTTTCTCGGGTGATAGTAACTGAGTCCCCTAGCGCTCCGGCCTTGCCGCCGACCTTGATTCGCTCCTGGAGGAACTGCTCCAGAGAGGCGATATCCATGATCTTGTCATCCACCGGCTTCGAGCAGTCGATAACGAAGGTCACACCCTTCTTCTTCCCACCTTTCGTGATGGCTTCGAGCAAAATAAAATAGAGAGTGTAAAACATTTTGGAATAATCAAAATAGGAAATTTTGCAAATCAAATTGGGACGGAGGGAGTATTTTATTTTAGGTTCAACTTTTGTTTTTTTGCAGCTAATCATTCTTCTAGCAGTTTTGATGCTATACCACTATCTCATTCTTCCCTTTTTATTAAAGAAGCTGAAGTGTCTCACCTTCTTGGAAAAATTGTTCTCTTAGAGAAAGAAGCTTTTGATTTGTATAATGAGTATGCTTTTAGGATTGGCTTTGACATTCGTTATTCTACTCTACCGAAGAAAGAAGTTTGTTGTGATGTTAAAGGCAGAGAATTTTGTTGCACTAAACAAGGTTCTAAGAAGAATAAATGTGTACATGGTAAGGTATTCACCAAAGTTGATCGTCGTACAGGTTGCAAAGCAAAAATTTATTTTGAGTTTAGAAGCAACGATGAATGGGTTGTGGTTAGACATCTTATGGATCACAATCACTCTTTCTGTCTTGGTTCTTTAGTTCATCATGCGAGGTCTCATCGTGATGTTTCTTCTTTTGGGTTGACATATTTGAATCATTTGAGAAATAGAGGAGTAAAAATAGCTGACGGTTTTCGCTGTTTACAAGCTGAAGCAGGTGGCTCTCCTTCAATCGGTTTCGTGATGCGCGATGTCTACAATGAATTGGAAAAAAACATAAAAAATGTTTTGAAGGTTGTGATGCAAATACTTTGATTAATATCTTTAGGAACAGACAAACAAATGAAGAAGACTTATTTTTCTCTTTTGAAGTTGATGCTGATGGTTCCTTAGTTAGCTTCTTTTGGAGAGACAAACAAATGAAAGAGGACTATTTAGCATTTGGAGAGTTGGTTGTTCATGACACTTTATATCGTACAAATAAGTACGATATGATTTGTGGTCCTTTTGTAGGTATTAACAATCATACACATAACTGTATGTTCGGTTGGGGGTTTTTGTTGAATGAATGCATTGAATCCTTTGAATGGCTTTTTACCACATTTTTGACTTCAATGGATTCAGTTCATCCAAAAACCATTATGATAGATCAGTCTGCATCCATGGCTGCTGCTATATGTAAGGTCTTTCCTAGTTCAAAACACCGTCTTTGCATATGGCACATTATCGAAAACTCTAAAAACATATACGAGACTTGAGGAATGACGAAGGCTTTTTGAACTTATTTGATCATGTTTTGAAACTTTGTCACACAGTTTCTGAGTTTGACTATTATTGGAACATGTATCATCTATTACTGCACTTAGTTTTCTTTCTTTTTTAATAATTTATTATTTACACTGTCATTTTTTTATGAATGAGTAATTGCTTCATTATGATGAGTATACTTTTGTTATTTTTTATTTTTACTTTTTTCAGGATGGTGACTACTTTCAATTGTTCTGAAAATGCATGGTTGAAGAAACTATATGACCTTAGAGAGAAATGGTGTCCAGCATTTTCAAAAGATTACTTTTCTGCTGGCATTTTATCCTCACAGGGAAGCGAGTCAACGAATAATTCTTTGTCTAGAAAGTTGAATGCAACGTCTCCTCTTTGTGATTTCTATCACTTTTTTGTGAAGTTATTAGTGAATGGAGGAGTCATGAGAGATCAGATCAACAATGTTGTTGGGATGGCTTCCCCGAGATATCAATCCCACATGTTGGTATATTACATAAAGCTTCTCGAATTTACACAATTGATGCTTACAAGCTTTTTGAGAAGGAGTTTGTTCGTGCTATGTCTTTGAAACATGAGGTTAAACATTGTTTTGGTTCTGTTATTCGATATTTAGTTTGGATGCCTCATATTGATCAGTTTTCACATTGGGTTTCATGTGACACGACATCACATTATGTTGATTGTTCATGTAAGAGGTTTCAAGAAGTTGGTATTTTGTGCTGCCATAGTCTTCGTATATATCATATCCACTGCGTCGAAGTTCTTCCTGATTCTTATGTTTTAAAACGTTGGACTCGCATAGCAAATTCAGTTGAACAAAGTGAGTCATCTATGTTATCCAATACTTCTAATAGTTTGCCTTCTATTTGGAGAATGCAAATGCAAAGGAAACTCCACAAACTTCTGTGTTTTAGTGATTCTAATGCTTCAGCGAGGCTGCTTTGTGAAGAGTCATTCAAAAATTTGAAACATGATGTTGAAGAACAAGTTGGCAGTTGATGGAGTATATGGCCCGGGAACCCCCGGCCAAAAGACTCCTACTACTCCAATAAAGGCCCAATAGGCCCAGGAAACACAACAGGCCCAAATCACGGCGTTCAAGATACCAAACAGCCCTCAAATGCGCACCAGGGGTGCCTTCGCCCCCCTGGCCGAAGGCTCTAACTCTCACAGGAGGGCCAAGATAGCAAAACAAAGTTACTGGAAAAAACGGCGAAAATCAGTAGCCCTCGGCACCAAGGGGTCCCCGGTACTCAGATCCCTCGGCTAGTCCTCTACAGCCGAGGGCACCTTTCCCGACATGATATCCGCGCCACATGCGTACAGATCACCGTACCCTGTACAACGTCCCATCCAACAGCCGCATTGAATGCGGCCACATGCGGTTGCCAGCACCAACCAGTTGAGATGACCTCTCGGCCAATAGACGCTTGACACGTGTCCCTGTCTGGCATTTATTGCTACTATAAATAGCACCCCATTTCCCCATTTGTAACCACGCTGAAAATGTTGCATACTTTCTAAATATACTTTCTCTCTCTATACTTACTTGCTCTGACTTCTCTCTTATTATTCCCCGTAATAACCCCTCAGATAAGCTACCCCCCGGGGACACAATCCATCATTTGGTGCTCTCGTTGAGAGGTCGAACAATCAAGTAAGAAACCCTCCCCCTCGACCTAAAAACACCCATCTAAAATGGTGAGAACAACTCGTGCCAACTCCAAGAATGTAGAGGACAGGAACCTGGCCCTCGGCGAGGTCGACGTCCCCGAAGCCTCCAACAGGGCTCCCGGGGGAGGCGTCATCGCCGGGTTGGACCAGACGGCTGTCGACCTACGCCAGTAGATTCAACAAAATGCCCCCGATGCCCGCCTCGGCATCGAGGCCAAGAAGAAGGACCGGAGCGAGAATCAAATTAGCCCTCCGTTCATCACCATCGACGTTCAATCGGCGCTCTCCGCCTTCATCCAGACGCTCACTCAGAACCCGGGAGCCTTCAGCACTTTGGTTCTCCACCAACCTCAGGTCGGGGAGAATATTATGCCTCCCCCTCATTCACGACCCCTCGGTAACCCGGTCCTCCGGATGGGGAACTCCGAGGGGGTCGTGGCCCAAGATACGGCCTCCCAGGAAGTCCAGTCCCGGGACCGCCACAACGTGAACAAGGAACCGCTCCGGACCTCCGCCCTCGAGAGACTCGGAGGGGCGCAAGACCGCTGAGGGGTCCAAGACCGCCTCGGGGGGAAGGCGTTCCAAAGGCCTCAGGAAAGTGGCGGGTCCGTCTCCAGGGCCAATGAAAGGCGTCCCCCTCAGGACAAGGGCAAGGCACCTCTCCATGCCGACGAAGCACGCCACCAAATCAATCAGGCCCACTCGGCCCGGATCCATTCGCAGGGGGCGGAGGCCCTCCCAAAGGACCCCCGGGACGAAATCATTGCGGCCCTCCAGTGCCGGCTTGACGAGATGGAGGCCACCAAAGCCCACGCCACCACTTCTGCCCCTCATACAGACCTCAAGTATGAGGTGATGATGGCCAAGATGGAAGAAATACAGAAGAAGATAGCCGAGGGCTCCGGAGAACCCACCATACAGCTCCGGACCCGGACGCCATTTACCCCAAGGGTATTGGCAGCCCGGATCCCGGAAAAATACCGAGGGCAGCTCATCAAGCCCTATGACGGAAAGACTGACCCCAAGAGCATTACAGCAGGTATCAAAACAGCATGATGATGGTCGGGGCATCGGATGAATATTTGTGCCGCTGGTTTCTCTCCACCCTAGAGGGGCCAGCTTACGAATGGTTCAATCGATTGCCCGAGGGCTGCATTGACTCATGGCAAGAACTCGCCCAGCGATTCTTGACGCAATTTGCGGGAAGGCGCCGCACAAGAAAACACTTCTCCCACTTGTTAACGGTGAGGCAGAAGAAGGAGGAGACCCTTCGGGACTTCCTGGAGCGCTGGAGGACGGAGGCTGATAAAGTTGACGGCGCTGACGACGGGACCCTCCTGGCCCTCCTACAAACAGTACTCCGCCCCGGGAACTTCTCCAGAAGCCTCATCATCGAACCCCCCCCCCCCCCCGCGATTATATAAGGGCCCTACAGCGGGGGGACCGGTACGCCGAGGCCGAGGAGGTGGAAAAATGCCACCATGTCCCTGATCAGCAACGCCCTCGGCCGGACGAAAAAGGTAACCGGGGGGCCCCCGCCATCATCCCAAGGATTCTGCCCCCTCCGGTGATCGCCCCCGGCATGGCCAAGCCAAGCCTAGGGGAGGCTACAAGGGGAACCCGAGGGCTTGGGCACAGCCTGTCCTCCTGGAGCACCCTCGGACACCATTGACGCATCCCGTCAACGTTATTCTTGATTTTACTGAAGAAAGGGGCCTCGTGGAGCGAGATTCACGTGCGCCCTCGGAAGTATTTGCCATCAATCCAAACTACCCCTACTGTCATTTCCACCGACACCAGGGGCACAGGACCGATGATTGCCATCAACTAAAGACGACCATCGAGAGATTAATACAAGCGGGCCATCTGTCCCAGTTTGTCCAGGGCCCTCAGCAACAGGCCCCCCCTCATCAGGGGCCACCCCGAGGGCAAACCGCAAGAGCGAATGCATGGGTCAACCCCAACACCATCCCCCTCGGCAAAAAGAGGGAGATTGGGAATTTGGAAGAAGAGGAGGAGGAGTACCCCCAGGACCAAGAAAAGAAACGCCACATCCTCATGATCACGGGGGGAAATACCGGAGGTGATTCTACGAGTCAACGAAAGAAGTAGGCTCAATCACTTTACGTGGGGGAAGTCACCCATATGCCCCCAGTAAAGCGGCTGAGGGAGGAACCCATTATCTTCACCAACGCTGATCTCCCCCCAGTATTTTCCCCCCCACAGGGATGCCCTCGTCATCCGTACAGAGATCAGTGACACTATTATTCACAGAACTTACATTGACACGGGCAGCTCCATCAATGTAATGTACCTCAGCACCTTCAGAGAGCTGCATCTGGAGAGGGGGTCCCTTCGGCCCATCAAGACCCCTCTTGCCGGTTTCACCGGCGACACCATTGATTCCGAGGGGGTCATAACCCTCCCGGTCATCTTCGGCGACGGCCTCCATAGAGCCAAGCTCGAAGTGGAGTTCGTCGTCGTCAACATCGACTGCGCCCACAGCATCATCCTCGGCCGGCCAGCCCTCGAGGATCTCGAGGCTGTCATCTCCATGAGGCACCTCTGCCTCAAGTTCCCAGCCGAAGGGGGGATTGGTTACTCAAGGGAGAACCAAAAACTTGCCCGCGCTTGCTACCTTCAAGTTACAAAGAAGATTAGCAAGACAGAGTTCCGCGTTGACACCATCACCGGAACTGTGGAAGCGGAAGAAAGGAGGCCGAGGGCTGAACCAGCCGAGGAGGTAGAAGACTTCGCGCTCGATCCGGCCAAGCCGGAGAGAGTCGTGAAGATTGGAGCCAATCTCCCTGAAGATTTGAAGACCGACATCATCAGCGCCCTCCGAGCCTACTCCATTGTTTTTGCATGGGGGCCGGAGGACATGCCGGGGATCAGTCGAAGGGTCATCACCCAGCGCCTCTCGGTGGACCCTTCGGCCAAACCAGTACAGCAGCGAAGGAGACCCCTCTCGGCCGAGAGAAGGGAATTTGTGAAGAAGGAGGTCGCCATGCTCCTCTCTATCAGGCACATCAAGGAGGTAAAATACCCCTCATGGCTGGCAAAAACGTGGTCCTCGCGCAGAAACCACCCTCATTCCGCATGTGCGTGGACTACACGGATCTCAACAAGGCGTGTCCCATGGACCCCTTTCCTTTGCCAAATATTGATCAACTTGTGGACGAAACCGCGGGGTGTGAAATCATGTCATTCCTCGACGCATTCCGCGGATATCATCAAATATACATGCATGAGGAAGACGCTGAAAAAACAGCCTTCATGACTCCCGAGGACATCTTCTGCTACCTCGTCATGGCCTTCGGTCTAAAGAAATCAGGTGCCACCTACACTCGGATGGTTGCCAGGGTATTCCAAGCAGTCCTAGGGCGCACCATGGAGGCGTATGTTGACGACATGATCGTCAAGAGCAAGCAATCAGAAAGCCATGCTGATGATTTGAGGGAGATCTTCGCCATCATGCAGAAGTTTAGCCTTCGGCTGAACCCAAAGAAGTGCACCTTCGGCGTCCAGGGGGCAAGTTCTTGGGCTACATGGTGAGCCGAAGGGGTATCGAGGCCAACCCCGAGAAAATCCAGGCCATCTTCAACATGGAGCCCCCACGCAACGTAAAGGAGGTCCAACGATTGACGGGCCGCCTGGCAGCCCTCAATCGCTTCTTATCAAAATCGGCGGAGAAGTCCTTACCCTTCTTCCAGATTATGAGGAAAACCGCCGGTTTCCAGTGGACTTCAGAATGTCAGGGGGCATTCGAGGAGCTGAAACGGTACTTATCTTCACCCCCTGTGCTCTCTAAACCCAAGGTAGGGGAGATCATGTACCTCTACTTAGGTGTTAGCCCGGCTGCCATCAGCTTAGTACTCATCCGGGAAGAAGATGGCATCCAGCAGGCCATCTTCTATGTTAGCAAGACCCTCAGGGAGGCGGAACTCCGGTACTCCCCCGTGGAAAAAACGGTATTGGCTATCGTGTGGACCGTCAAGAAGTTGGGCCATTACTTCCAGGCTCACCCG